CCCCTCCTCCTCGTTGAACCAAACAACCAAACGGCCTACTAACAAACAAACAGTCAAAAAATTCACCAACCAAACAACCCATTAAAAATAAACCCCCCTAAAAAAATAATCCACCAACCTGCTGACAAACAACCCGGCCACAGGACAGACAATTGTTCACAAGCTGATGTTTAACGGCCTGGGGAAACAAATCATAAATTTTTTAAATAAAATATTCAAAAAGGAGAAAATGATTTAAAAACAAAAAACTAGAAATTTAAAATCAAATCAATTCTACAAAAAAAATTTACCCTCAAAATGTTCTTTTTTGTAATTTTTGATCAAATTGCTCATTAACATGTTTAAAATTTTTTAACATTTAACCTGGCATTCGCAGGGATGTCTGCCCGTTAGTAAAACTACATCACTCATCTTTCCGTCCTTACTGTACAGGGGAACAAACTGTACAGTTTAGTGTGTTTATACTCAAGTACATTGTATACTTATTGTACAGTTTAGTGTGTTTATACTCAAGTACAGTGTATACTTAATGTACAGGGGAACATACTGTACAGTTTGGTGTGATTATACTCAAGTACAGTGTATACACTTACTGTACAGGGGAACATACTATACAGTTTAGTGTGTTTATACTCCAGTACAGTGTATACCTGCTGTACAGTTTAGTGTGTTTATACTCAAGTACAGTGTATACTTACTGTACAGGGGAACATACTGTATAGTTTAGTGTGTTTATACTCAAGTACAGTGTATACTTACTGTACAGGGGAACATACTATACAGTTTAGTGTGTTTACACTCAAGTACAGTGTATATTTACTGTACAGGGGAACAAACTGTACAGTTTAGTGAGTATATACTCAACTACAGTGTATACTTACTGTACAGGGGAACATACTGTACAGTTTAGTGTGTTTATACGCAAGTACAGTGTATACTTACTTTATAGAGGAACAAACTGTACAGTTTAGTGTGTTTATACTCAAGTACAGTGTATACTTACTGTACAGGGGAACATACTGTACAGTTTAGTGTGTTTATACTCAAGTACAGTGTATACTTACTGTACAGGGGAACATACTGTACAGTTTAGTGTGTTTAGTGTATACTTACTGTACAGGGGAACATACTGTACAGTTTAGTGTGTTTATACTCAAGTACAGTATTTACATATGGTACTGGAGTACATATTGTACAAATTGGTGTTTATATTTTAGCACAGTATTTTCTTTATGTAAGGGGCTACATCTGTACAATGTACATACTTAATCTATGGTTAAATTGTGTAAACAAACATGTGTGTGTACACTGTTGACTACAATGTACAATTTTATGTTCACACAAATGCGTAACTACAATTCCAAATCCGTTATTAAAGATGATAAGATTGTGTAGGTTCCCTGGTCCGATAATATGCAGCTATAGTTTCATGATCCAACATTATATTAATTCCAAATCTGTTATTAAAGGTAATAAGATTGTGTAGGTTCCCTGGTCCGACAATATGATCCAACATTGTATTAATTTACAGGGTTACCCACAATTGAGACTTTAGAGACGGAATTTTTTCAGAATCATTTCTTACATGCAAGGTTTCATGCATTTTTGAACTTGTTTTTTACTTCAAATTGTTCAGAGATAAAAGTGTAAAACACACTTTTCCTTGTTTTTCTTGGACGCTTCTTTATCTTCATTTTCTTTATCTGCTCCTGCTCCCCCTCCTACCCCTCCCCCTGCTCCTCCTCCTCCCACGCCCTTTCCCTTCTTCTTCTGAGATAGTTTTAATTGTTATAATATTTTTGTGGGTCGGGGGGGGGGGGGGGGGGGAAATAGACTTAGATTTGCAAGTAGTGTTATCTCTTTTAATTAATTTTGCCTTTAAAATCTATAACAAAACACAACTTCTGTCATAAAAACTACTAAACAACCAATCTAATATTTATAATCACGATTTTCAGACATCAAAATAGATCTCACTGATTACCTTTGAGATTAAGGGAAATCTGCCAAGCTTAACAAATCGACAAAATCTCTCATTTAATGAAAATCTGGCAATTGAGGGAAAATCTGCCAATTTAGGGAGAAATCTAAAGGAAAATGTGACATTTTAATGGAAAACCTGCCATTTAAAGGAGTAATCTGTCAATTTTAGAGAAAATCTGCGAATTTGAGGGAAAACGTCCCAATTTGAGGGAAAATCTACTAATTTATAGGAAAATGTGCCAATTTAAGGGAAACTCTGGGAAGTTTAGGGAAAATGTGCTAGCTAATAATAATGATTTACAAAACTAGTTCCTTGGCTCCGCCTCGGACAGCATATTCATCCAGCTCCTCATCCCTCTTCTTATACACCGTCACACCGGGTCCGCCTAATCAATCAATCGATCAATCCAAATATTTAAATAAATAAATAAATAAATAAATATATCTGTTTAAAGCTTAGGGGAAGAATAATTAAAATTCAACTCAAATTTGGATTTAAAAATATAAAAGTACGTAAGTAAATAATTATTGTTATACCCTCAAACGACCAAAAAACCACAAAAAAATCTTACCATTTCTTTCTTGAAAATTTAGTTTGGTTATTGGTATGACAAAAGTGTGAAGATGCCTATTTTGTTGAAAAATTATCCCCCCTCCCCCATCTCCCCATTTTGAAAACAACGACAAACATAGAAAGGCGTCTTAGCAGACTTTTGCAGAAATCGACGGGCAGTATTTTTTGCGGATTTTCGGAAAAAAAGTGACTTGTGCATTTTTTGCTAGTCAGAAAAAAACGGAGATATCATTCGATTTAGATCAGATAACGGCTCAAGGGTACCGTTGTAAATCGGGCTTTGCCATGACAAAAGTGTGAAGGTGCCTATTTTCTTGAAAAATTATTTTCCACCATTTTGTAAGTTATTTTTTTCTTCCAGATGTTAGATATTTGTTTATAGTTTTTTTTTGCTGAATCGGGGAAAATTAATTAAGTTTTGTAACCAACTTAATAAAAAAAAACATTTGTCTTCTGATGTCCAATTGAAAATGTACATTAATGTAATAATTAAGCGGAAATATATCTAAAATGCAAGTTTATTTTAACGTAATTTTGATACTTTTGTAAACAAATAACAAGAGCCTTCATGTACAGGGACAGGAAAGTGTTCCTACTATTGTACAAACAGTTTGTTCGTTGCCATTTAGAATTTGCCATCCCGGCCTGGTCACCCTGGTTAGTAAAAGATATTGAAATCCTAGAACGAGTCCAGAAAAAAAGCAGTTAATTTCATAGTTGGTCCATCTGGTAAAACTTATGAAGAAAAACTATCTGAGCTTAATTTGACCTCACTTGCTGATCGCCGAAAAAAAGTTTGACCTCGTACAAACTTTTAAGATTTTGAATGGTCATGATCGTGTAGATGCCTCAATTTGGTTTACAACAGTTGGAGACAGTGCTAATAGACTGACCAGAAACACTGCCTACAGTATGAACCTTGCTGCCACTATATCAAGAACAGATATTAGAAGAAATTTCTTCTCCAACAGAGTAGTAAATCTTTGGAACAGTCTACCTACAGATATAAAAGATTCCAGAACAGTAAAAATATTCAAGACAAGACTGGAGAACATTAATCTGTAACTCTATTTATGCAATCAGGATCAGTGTGGGCGAGACTATTTATGCAATCAGGATCAGTGTGGGCGAGACTATTTATGCCATCAGGATCAGTGTGGGCGAGACTACTTTTGGAGCCCTGTTTCGAGGAATACACTGTTCCGTGAGGACTAAACTGACATCTGCGCTATGGACCAAGAGGCCCTCTGCAGATTACTCTACAAACAAGTAAGTAATAAAATACGGAATTGTGTCAAATTGATAACATAACGGTTCATTTATAAAACCGTTATCTAATAAATAATGTGCAAGATAACGTTGTTAATCGAGCTTGAGAAGTATCTGATTCTGACAATTTACTCAATTGTTTCTGTAGCGAGAAAGATAAACTTGATTTAATGCAAAGATGGCAATGTCCGATATACAACGGTACCCTTGAAAGCTTCGTCTGATCAAATATGAATTAGATATTAATGTTTTTGTTTTATTTTAACAGTTTAATTTCATTAGTGGGTTCTCTGAAAAAGTGACCTGCGCATTTCAAGCTTATAAGAAACAATGAAGATGTTATTCGATTCCACATTTTGTAACAGATTAGGTTTCAAGGGTACCGTTGTGAATCAGGCGTTGCCATCTTTAAATGTCGGGTCAACTAAATGTCCCGGATTTTTTCACCTTTAACACTGTCCCCGACTTTATACTCCATTTTACAGGTTTAAATCTGAAAACATGACATATGTTTCATTAGTGACAATAATTCGACAGTTTTAATAAATCCATTTTTTATAATTTTACAAAAAGAGCTATATTCGACTAATTGAGATAAAAAATATGAATTCCCGAACTAAGAAAAGAACATTTAACGCAATTCTAAACTTCCCTGCATTTACAAAGGGCCATCATTGATTCACAAAAGTACCAATGGCTAGCAGTTGTTTTTACTTCAAAGTTGAAATAAAAATGTTGTGAATTATTGATGGCTTACAATATCTGCAGGGTGACATAAAAACTTCGCAAACATTCTCTTGAGAAAATGCGGGAAAACTGAACTCTGGTTTCCTTAAACCTCGTGATCAAACTGACCGGGCTGCTTTCTCTGAAGGCGATCATGCTCCTGACAAATCAATCAATCAATAAACTTTAAAATTAAGTTAGATATAAGTAATATTAGCAATATATCCGTATATATATATATATATATATATATACGGATATATATGTATATATATATGGATAGGATAATCAATGCGAGTAAAGGTTCACTCTTAATTTTTTGGGGTTTAAATTAGTTTTTTTATCTAAAAAAACTCTCATAATTTCAAGTGACCACCCTAAGAGGGACATGTCCGATTTACAACTTTACCCTTAAACTCTTTATCTGAGTAAAACTGAGTAAGATATCGCTGTTTTCTAGATTCAGAAATATTTAATTTTCACAATTAAATTCTTTATTTATGGGCCAGAAATTCGAACGTAGCTTCTATAAAAAAATGACAATAAAAAAGTATAAATTTTAAGGTAAAAATCATGAATATCTCATTCCTTAATTCATTATGACTGCCAACAGTCCCTTTAAGTAAAATACTTTTTAACATATCTCGTGGTCGATGTGAAAAATGTGAAAATGAAAAATTAACCCTTTTTATGATTTATTTGATAAGATTTCATTCTGAAAACTTGATTCAAAGGCTGAGAAACTAAATTGATTGATTGATATATTTCCTTCTCTGATGCATCGTAGATAAGGTAGGCGATTATAAAAGGAGGAACCACGGTCAGAATAGATCGCCTAGATTATTTAAGTAATTCATTATTCAAATATAAATCTATCAAGAAAGTAAAAAATTTAAAAATAAATCCAGAAATTGATATCTACCTAATTCTCCAGAGTGTATTAGGAACTCCACTAGAAATAGCTCCGGCAAAAGCTCTCTGTTCCATGGGAGAAAGATGGTACTTCGTTGTACCTCTCACCTGAAATTAGATGTATTTATGGGTTAAAACAATTATGGACATTACAAAAATATCACACTTCAGAATGACATTTCAGGGGTTGCTCACGTACATTTAAAAAGATTATTGTGTAAAAATCTGCTCTATTGCGTACATTTAAAGAGGTTATTGTGTATAAATCTGCTCTATTGCGTGCATTTAAAGATGTTATTGTTAAAAATCTGCTCTATTGCGTACATTTAAAGAGGTTATTGTGTATAAATCTGCTCTATTGCGTACATTTGAAAATATTGTGTATAAATCTGCTCTATTGTGTACATTAAAAAAGGTTATTGTGTATAAATCTGCTCTATTGCGTACATTTAAAAAGGTTATTGTGTATAAATCTGCTCTGTTGCGTACATTTAAAGAGGTTGTTGTGTATAAATCTGCTCTATTGCGTACATTTGAAGAGGTTATTCATATTGTGTAAAAATCCGCTCTATTGCACACATTTAAAGAAGTTTTTGTGTAAAAATCTGCTCTATTGCGTACATTTAAAAAGATTATTGTGTATAAATTGCTGAAAAATCATAAAATTTATAGCTTTTAAACGAGAAATCACAATGGATTCAGGTGGATAATCTAGGTATTAGAAATAGATTCTAACCACAAGCACGCCTAGAGTATTTGTTTCATCTCCGTGTATAAAATACAACAGTTAGCGGAAATGACCCGTTTCCCGTAAGAACTTAACATCCTTCCCCTCCCCCCCCCCTCCCCCGGAAACCTGTATTATCAAGGTCGTACATACTTTAATGTCACATAACATGATTTTTACAGATAGATCAACGGCTAAAGGGGAGGCATTATTCTTAAAGCAGAAAATAGACGGGGGTTTCATCTTATATTTGTATAAAGAAAACCTACCTAAAATAATCAAAAAGTATCTTGTCTAACTTATTAAATAAAAAAATGGCATCTTACCTTAACTCCAAGGTGGCCGAAGCCGAGACCAAATCTGACCAGGGAAGTTCTCATTTTGTCTAAAATAAAAAATGTTCTAAACTTTATTTATATCATGCACATTTTTAACTATAAATGTTTTACAGTCGGCCAAAACACTTAAATAATTCAGAGACAATGGATAACGAAATAATTAATAAAAAGGGCTTAAAAACTTCGAGAATTTCCATGCGTTTTGTAATTTGCGGATTTATGGCTGATTCAAAAGTGTACACAGACAGAAGGTAGCAGACATGTTTTATAGCTTTCTCAAAAATTCACAAAACCTCGTCAAAGTTGTACTTTCTCAATGCTATCTCATTTGGACTACTGCCGTTTGAACTATTGTTCATTTGAACTATTGCTCATTTGAACTATTTTTTAGTTCATTTGAACTATTTTTATTTGAACTATTAAATTATTAATGAAATAAACAAAAAATAGTTCAAGTGAACATAAAAATAGTTCAAATGAAAAAAAAATAGTTTAAATGAAAAAAAAAATAGTTCAAATAAATAAAAAAATAGTTCAAATGAACAAAAAAATAGTTCAAATGAACATAAAAATAGTTCAAATGGACAAAAAAAATAGTTCAAACGAACAAAAAAATAGTTCAAATGAACAAAAAAATAGTTTAATTTGAACTATTTTTTACCTAACCTAACCTAACCTAACCTAACCTATTCTTTTTGTCCATTTGTATCCACCAATTCATTATTATCTTATAGTTTTACACGGTCCATTTAAACTATTTTTTTTTTTCATTTGAACTATTTCATTTGAACTATTTTCATGTTCATTTGAACTATTTTTATGTTCATTCTGTGTAATGTTTATCTAATTAATTGTCATGAATATAACTTTATGAAGATTAAAAAAAAACATTTTAAAACTTAATTGGGGTAGAAAAATAGTTCAAATGACCAAGAAATGCGTTGATTTAAACTACAGGATATGACGTCATGTCAGTAGTTCAAATGAACAATAGTTCAAACGAACAATAGTTCAAAAGTACCAGTTCAAACGGCAGTAGTTCAAATGAGAATCCACCACTTTCTCAACCAAACTAAGAATTTCCTGAACTACGGGTTTGTCGACATTATGAATTTACATCTCAAAAATAGGTTTACGTTTAAACAGAACAGGTAAAATTTGCTAATGAAACTTTAAATTTGTGTATTTTGTGAACTTTAATTTTAAACATTTACTAATTTGAGTTTGCCAAACCAAATACTGCAATTCCATATTGTACAATAGAAATTATAGATTGTTCCAATCTAATTCACAATCTTCAATTTTTTTATTGAAGAAACAGTATTCTATGAAGCACGTAGTTCAAATGATAGTGCATCAGTTTTGAGTAAACCCTTTTTTAAATCTTGTCGAACTGCCAGTTTATTATTTTTTTGGACAATAATAAAATTTTTTTCTAAATTACATTCTTCTATTAAAATATCAGATAAAATTTTTCTTTTTTCATAATTAATTATTTAAAAATTAAGAGTTTTATGGAAATAAAGTAAAAATTGCAGTATCCCCAAGAAATGTACGCAGATGTTCAGAATAACCTTTCAAGTATTATAAACATACTTGTTTCTGTCACTTCTCAGTTTCCTGCCTTAGTCTGCTTCAAGGCTATAAAGTGCATATAGTTTCACGTAGTGATTTATATATAAATATATATATTTATACATAATAAAATACAAATATTATATTAATCACAATTGGAATATTAAGAAATTATAGATATTTTATTAAAACATTTTGCAAATATAAATTCATAGAAATTGTTTTTTTTTCTTCATCACTGAGTAAAGGTTTAATATAGTACCTAATTGAATGGTTCATGAGATCCATTATTCTTAAATATAAATCGGAAAAGAAATATAGGTGGATCTCATATATACCACTTGGATATAATTGGTCATGAAGCCGCAGCGCCCGGGCCCCTAGCCTGTTGTAGCCGCAGTGCTCGGCCCAGAAATTGACTTAACCTAACCTAGCCTTTAAATAATAATAATTTTCTGGAAAAAAGTGGTCATGTAAAAAATTGATATGTTTTCTAGGACAGACCCAATATATTTAAAAATTGAATTTGTTGTATTATGTGATCTATAAACCGTTCTTAGGGAGACGCAATTTCAAATATTAAAAAAAAGTTTTAATGTTGTCCCATGATCTGACTCTATTTGGGCCCCGAAAACCCCTGCTGGAACTATAGATTTCACTGATCCAAGAGGTCCCCTTAGTCCCCGGCCTCCTTGAATACGCCTCTGCATTAATTAATCAATTAGTTGGTCAAATTTATCTGTGTTACTTTGTTTAAGTGGATTGAGCTAAATTATCTGCTGGAAGCCCCAAAAAATTCGTTTTTATTTTTCCTCTTTTGGTAACCATGGACATGGAGATTGGAGATCAAGTTTTTAGACGGGGATATTTATTATTTATATCCCCAAGAGTCTAAGGTGCAGTAATTACCCTCAAGATTTTAGGGGAGTGGGGGGTAATTACCACCAATAAGCCTCTGTCATCTATTTCACAATAAATTGATTATTTCAAAAATTTCAGATAGAATGCTTGAAAATAATTGCCCAGTGTAAAACTACAAAAATTAAAGAGTTATTAAGTTCCAACAATTTCACATAGCGTGCATAGAAGAATTCAACCTGTACATAGCGTACATAGAAGAATTCAAATTTTACATAGCGTACATAGAAGATGGGAGGGATGAAGAAGATTTGGAGGGAAGCTGCCTCACTCATACTTACTGCTCATACACCCCGTACACTCAGTGTTGTGCAAAGGTATCATTTTATAAAGGATCAAGACAGTCGGGTGTATAAAAGGAGTTTGGCTTGAAACCCCTTAGAAATCATAGATGTCACTTACCCAAGAGAGTTTGCTGAGCCTCCATACCTGTTATTACCCTGAGAATAATTCTTCTCCTGAGCCAAATGGTGAATTAATAAACTCTATATATGAATATTTTATTATAACTAATTGTAGTTCTCTAGTCACAGCTTGATCCAAAGGTTAACTGCAAGCTCTCAATTTAAAATCTTAAAGAATTTTGCTGATTATTACTTGAAAACTGAAGCTATAAAAATTGCTTTAAAGTTAAGGCTATCTAAAGGTATAAGTGTGTATGAAATCAAAACGCCAAGGCGTTGCTACACTTTAAAGTTGACCCAGTCTTAAAAATTGATGTGTTTAGTTGCCTATGTTCCACACAAAAAAATAGTAGATTACTTTTATCAAGGGATTTCCAAAATATTTTGACAATCAAAAAATTTTGAGGAGAAATTCTTTAATTTTGACATGCCACTGACCTTCACAAGGTAATTTAAGTTAAGACCATTTCCATTAAAATCATTTCCATGGTTCTTCCGAGTTCCCCAATCAAATTTGAGGCAGGGGCTCATGAGTTATGATCGGACATCCCCAAACAAACAGACAAACAGAGATTAATACTTCATAAATATAGATATATGATATATGCGGGCTATTGAATGATTCTAATGATAATTTTATACTCTTTTCTCTCTCTTATTCTAACTTAACAATAATCCGCTAATTCCTTCCAAAATGTCGTCTTCACCCCTAATTAACATTTTTATCCACCAATTCATTATTATCTTATAGTTTTACACACACATATTTTATTCTGTCTGTATCTGTATTCTAAACTTTATATTTTATTCTGTCTGTATCTGTATTCTAAACTTTATATTTTATTCTGTCTGTATCTGTATTCTAAACTTTATATTTTATTCTGTCTGTATCTTTATTCTAAACTCTATATACAGCTTATTCTCTTCCAATACAGTGGTTCCCAAAATACATCTATTCCTACTCAATCTTACCAATTATTCTAACTCCCAATTCACCAACCCTTTTATTATATTAACATTCATTGAATCCCAATCCCAACTCCCTCTTCAGTTGATATCCATTCCAATTTCCAACCTATTTTACCTACTCCCAATTGGTCCCTATCTAATTCATTCCAACTTCCTAATCCTTATTCTAATCCCAATTCGTCCAATCCCAACATTGGTTTATAGTCGTTTGGGATCCTCATAGTTTGGGATTTCACATACATAAAATTTTAAAGAAATGTTTTATATTATTGTTGACTTTTTACATGACAAATAACAATTAGCAAACAAAAACTGATGATATAAATATATATTATTGTTTCATAAACACTTTTATCATGTACAAATCGACAATCATGTATGGTTACAGAAATAAAAATGTAAATTAAAAGAATTATTTCTCTGTTCCAATCCTACTCCCCCCCAATCTCGTCCTAATATACTTTTTATCTATCCTTTTTTAACATATCCTTGGTTTTTTCCTGATATTCCAAAATCCTTGTCTACATACTTCTATTTTACCTTTTAAGCATTTTAAGCTTTTCTCCTTTCATTCTCTACTTTTTACTCAGCTATATGGGTTTTCTTTGTTAAAGTGCTTAGAATCCTATCTGTTTCCTACCTACATGGTCTGGTTGGCTAAGGGATGATTATGTCCCAAAACAAGAACTTTTAATTGAATGATGTATCAAATTATCAATTTATCATTCAGTTTAAATCTATGCATGTTTATCTTGTGAATTATAATTTACTATGCTTGCCCTGAAATCAGGGTTCATGCATTAAACATTCAGTACAAGATGAACTAGAGAAGAAAGAAGAACAAGTTGTAACCAAGAATTTGATCCTGTCCAATAAGCCTACACGCTAGCTATGCGAGTGTAATCATATAATGAAAATTTAACAAAAATATATTTTAACTCTTCATGTGTTGAGATATACCAGAGAGAAGAGAGATAGTGTCTAATTGTGTCTAAATAATTAGTTAGACTAAAGGATATAATTTCAGCTTCACCCCCCAACCCATTACTATCACATCAATCTCTAGAACAAAAGTATTGATAATTTTCTAATTTTAAATAAATTTTTAAAATTTCTATCTAAACATTGTAATTTCAGTGTTTTACCTGTACAGGATTCTCCTGACTGGAGCACTATATTTGATTACCAGGTATTTTAAAAATATTAAAATGTTAAAGGGATTGTAAATGTAGTTTAAATATTGAAATGTTAAAGGGACTGTAAACGTAGTTTAAATATTGAAATGTTAAAGGGACTGTAAACGTAATTAAAATTAACCCTCTATGCAGATATGGCCATGCCTAATTCACAAAAATACCCTTAAAAGCTTTGATTAGATCTCAATGTTTATCATTTTGAAAACTGACTATTTTCTATTGTGGTTTCTCTACAAAAATGACATGCACATTTTTACTGTAGGAATACACTTAGGAATTGTCAGAATTTAAAAACTTTTCAAACCTAGAAAAACTTTTCGTTATTGATCAGATAATGTTGCAATCAAAGGAATTTTTGCAAATTGGACATTGGCATCTTTAATGGAGGGTCACTTGAAATTATGCTGACAGTTCACTTAAAGCCAATGTACTTCTAGTTCTTCTAACTATTTAAAATCATAACTTGAGTCCAAAAGTCGTCTTCCTTTTTTACAGCTTTCTGGCATCATTTCAATTGTTTCTTTAAGAATCTCATATCATAAGGATTTATTCTATTTGCAAAACAATCATTAGCAAATTTTAATAGAAAAAAAAATTTCTTTAGAAAACTTTATTTATGGCATAGTTGTATAATTGAACTGCAATGCAGACCTTGCTTCAAATATAGGAGTAAATACATTTACTTGCTAACATAGTTTTTACATGTAAACTATCCAGGGGTAACGTAAAACTAACATTTCTTCATCACTGAGTAAAGGTTTAATATAGTACCTAATTGAATGGTTCATGAGATCCATTATTCTTAAATATAAATCGGAAAAGAAATATAGGAATACACTTTAAGAATATTGAATGTAGAAAAAATAGTATGTGTAAATTCACAATTACCGGATTTTCTTGCGTAAATTCAGAGTTCCCTTTGTTTTGTAAATTTAGAGTTATGAGATTTTTTTGCGTAAAATCTTGGATTTTTTGTGTAAGTTTAGAGTTCCCAGATTTTTTTATCTACATGGAAGACAATATTTGTTCAGGTCTTGATGCTGCGGCGCAGTAGCAAAAGCAAATTCATGCCAAGTGCTTATGTGTTTCCTGGTGGAGTTCTGTCCAAAGAAGATCTTAGCCAGGTAAAAGCATTGATTTTTTATTGACTTATTGACTGACTGCTTTATTTGATGATTGCTTTATTGATTGATTGCTTTCTTGATTGATTGCTTTCTTGATTGATTGTTTTCTTGATTGATTACTTTCCTGATTGATTGCTTTCTTGATTGATTGCTTTCTTGATTGATTACTTTCTTGATTGATTGCTTTCTTGATTGATTGCTTTCTTGATTGATTGCTTTCTTGATTAATTGATAGATTAAATGTAGAATTATTATGTATTTAGGATTGGATGAACTATTTCCAGAGAAAAGGAAGGTCTCAAGATGATTTAGAGGAGCTTGTTCTTGGTAATATAATTTAGGGGTATATATTTGTCAAAGGAAAATGTTTTGCAGAGACCTTTTATAAAATAGATTTAACAATTACTCAACTAATCGACTACTGTTGATTAGTTTTAAAATGAAATTTATCAATCTATCATTAAGATAAACCTGACCGGCCTTTGTTAATGAGTTCAGAGGATTCAAAGGAGGCCGTTCGGAGGGATATAGCTTTCAGGTGAAAGAGTACATTATAAAGTACAAATGAAGATGTCTTCAGTTATGAAATAAATATTTTAAGATTTATAGCATTCAGGTCATAGAGTACATATTTGGAGGGATTTATTGTAGGTCATAGAGTACATATTAGGTCATGAAGAACATATTTGTGGAGATTTAGTGTTTAGGTCATAGAATACACCATAAATCTAATGTTAACAGACAATTTAATAATATGTTTATAGACTGACCGCTATCCGAGAAACCTTTGAGGAATCTGGCATCCTGCTTTACATGGACAAAAACAAGGTTAATGAATACATCAAAATGTCATTGCAGAAACAGTTGGGCATTGTTTTTTTTAGGTTTATCGTTATTGTTAACATTGTCATTGCCATTATTATTGTTGTCATGGTTATTATTTTGAAAATGAATTTATGTTCTAGGAAGGAGATCTAGCAAGTGCTTATACCTTCAGTGAGGAAATGGAGTTGGAAGCTCTTAGGAAAAAGGTAGAATAAATAAATAAAATAAAATAAATAAATAAATTTCTTGGTTTGTGTAAAATTAACTAAATTTGATCTTAATTAAAAAATAATATTGTTAACATTGAAAAAAAATGAAAATTTTCTACCATACACAAAATAATAGAAAGATCAACATAACTGTGTTTTAGATAATGATTTTATAATGTTAAAACAATTCTTAATATATTATACAATATTTTAAATGCCTAAATTTGTATTACTTAAAACTTGTTTCTGCCTTTTTAACTAGAATCAATTATTATCTTTAAAGAATCTGAGTTTATTGTTTGTTGTAAGTTTCATAACTTCAATATTACCGCATGAGCTGACTGTTCACTGTTTCAAGTACAGTGCTTAGTGAACATAAGTCAAAGTGTACAGTTAATTGTTTATAAAAGGTACACAATGACCCCAGTGAACTGCTGAAGTTATATCAAGAGTTGGACTTAATCCCAGATCTTTGGTCTCTAACAGGTTCTAATATTAATACTCTGCTATTAATTTATCAACCTAATTGTTTTAACCATATTTTAACATTTTTTGCACTTATGGGCACAGTTCTAAGCAATTCCGTTTGCACAATTCCGCGCGACGGAATTCTGTTTGGAAACCCATTATATGAGCCTGAACAAAGTGCCTGCTGTAAGCTAACATGAACTTGACAGCATTTCAAGGTTTAACCATCAACATTAAGATCTCCGGCTACGACTAAGGAATCCTAGACTTCTAGGGATGTTATTTTTGTTAAGAATGGAGTGGTTGGTTAACTGACAGATCTCTATAAACAGTGAATTACGTCATTTGGTAAATAGGGATGTTATTGTTGTTAAGAATGGAGTGGTTGGTTAACTCTGACAGATCTCTATAAACAGTGAATTACGTCATTTGGTAAATAGGGATGTTATTTTTTGTTAAGAATGGAGTGATTGGTTAACTCCGACAGATCTTCATGAGCAGGGAAACAGAAGGTAATTAATACTTTTTAAAGTAAATTCATTTCTTAAAATATTTTATAACAAATTTAAAACAGAAACTAAAAACCTAAAAAATAAAAAAAAATAAGAATGTTCTTATTTGAGATTTGACACTCTGTTCTACCTCTGCAACATTGGGAGCAAACCAGAGACTGTCCTGGACAAGGAAATTTACATTTTTTGTGTTGATTAAACAAAATTCTTAAATATTTAAATATGCTTCTTCCTCTGTCTGTTCTTAGTATTATTGTTTTGACTGTGTTTGTAATTTGAAGTGACACACTTTATTTTTATATTCCGATCCACAACCTAATCCTTATTCAGGAGAAATGAGATATCCTTGATTTTCTGGCTGAAAATTGATGATAATTTAACCCTCTTTAAAATGCAAAGCAATGATATATTTCTATACTTGCTCAACTTCAGGTTTAATTAGACATAAATAATAGAATGTCACTAGAAATAACGTCATAATTCCTTTAAACATTTGGAAATACAAAAATGGATGAAGGCTGAAATATCTGCGTTGGACTGGACTTATCCTGGAACCATTCTTCATCAGTTTTATTCTAGACAACTTTGGTTAGCTCCACCCCAGGTATACAGGGTTAAAGAAATACTTTACCCCCCAGGTATACAGGGTTAAAGGAATACTTTACCCCCCAGGTATACAGGGTTAAAGGAATACTTTACCCCCCAGGTATACAGGGTTAAAGGAATACTTTACCCCCCAGGAATACAGGGTTAAAGGAATACTTTACCCCCANTTATTTTATTTCTAGTTTTCTTTCTTAGCGTCTTAAACGAACTGTAAGATATATCTCTTCTACCTGGAGATTCAATGTAAATATATCTCTTCTACCTGGAGATTCAATGTAAATATATCTCTTCTACCTGAAGATTCCATGTAAATATATCTCTTATACCTGAAGATTCAGTGTAAATTTATCTCTTCTACCTCTAGAAATATGAAACTTTTGGTAAATTATTGATTTGATGAATTTATAATATTTTTTTGTTTCCAGGTATCCGGACCAGCCCAACTATATTGGAGACACCAGTGTAAAACAATTAAACTTATTCAAGGAAATTTATTTATTCCATAAAAAGGGAATGTTCATGTAATTCATGTAACTCACCAATTCACAACCATGGACACTTTTACATATTTATCTAAGAGCGAGACAGGGATGCCTGAAATGGGATCCTTTGTATCTTAAAATATTTTAAATTCATTCCTTCTCTGGTCCATTCAGAAATCGTAAAGTTAATCTTAAAGAAAACCCATCAATTTTCCGACAAAACAATAAATCATTCCTTCTCTGGTCCGTTCAGAAATCTTGTACTGTACTGTATTGTACTTTACTGTTTTGTACTATACTGTACTGATCTTGTACTAAAGGATACATATGACTGTGTTCCTGCTGTCAACTGTACACCCGCACATGGTCACGTGAATCCATTAGAGTACAAACACTTCCAGGTAGGTTCCTTCAGTACATAGTCATGTACACATAGTGTATACTGTACAATCTATAGTTTACTGGTTTCTATAAGTAAGATTAGTTTAAAAAGTTGTAGGCGTAATGTTTTGAGAGAACCATTCTTTTTTTACAGTTTTTGGTTGCTGTTTTACTATTTTTCTACTGTTCTCAAATTTTAGGTCTTTTGGATTTATCAAATTGTACAAAAAAATCTGATCATTTTTTGTTTTTCCTTGACCAAATATTGATTAATTCACATTGAGAACTAAATCTAACGTGTACGTACATCCAAGAAAAATAAAAGCAAGAGCAAAAATTAGCCTGGTTTGTAGGTTATTTAGCTCTGTGCACATACAGAAATATTTACAAAAAGCCCATTTCAGCTTCTCCCACGGTCAGCTTTAGTGCTAAAACTTTCAAAACGTTTGTAAAAAAAACCTTAAAGCCATGATAAACAAATTCACCACTTTGATCAGCATCTATCTTTATGGGTTTTTGAATAAGAGGCAAAGATAAAAATTGTTTTTCCTATTTTTAGCCTGAAAAGGCCATAATCTTAACAAATATTGGTCGATTTTGTAGAAAATACTTAAAACCTAGCAGGAGCATTTACTAAACAAATTACCAAATCTGTTTATCAAGATTGTAAGATGATTTATAGATATTTTGAAAGCTCTTTTTCTAAATCTGACCATGGGAGAAACTTAAATGGGCTTTTTGCATATATTTCATTTTTCCATGGAGGCCAAAATCTTGTGAGAGAAACGGATCTGGAATTTAGAATTATAATTTTTGCCTCAAAAGAAGGGTGGGGGGGGGACTGATTATTCATTTTATTTAAAAAAAATATATATATCGACAGTAATTAATACATCACACCATTTCTGGTTGAAAAAATGTTAAATCTAAATATTTAGACCAAAACCTGGTCTGGAGAGTAGATTAAATTCTCATCTGTATCTGTGGGCAGTTAGTAAGAAGATACAAAATGTCCCACCAAACTTTACAATAGGAGACAAGTTATTATGGTCGTCTTTGATTTTAAAATTAATTTGCGGCATTCATCTTGAAACCAAAATTTAGAAGTAACGTTTTAGAGATGATAATCGAAAAAAATCCCCTAGTTCTGGAATTTTCAAAAGGTGGTCTGATTTTTTGTGCTTTCAATATTGCCGTAGATTTGAAGAATTTTGTTAAGATTGAAATCTGAGCACATTAAAAAAGGCAGACCACATTTTGGAAATTTTTGAACCAGGAGATTTTTCTGATTATTGTTTCAAGAATCATACAGGTAAAAATAGGTTGACGAACGAATGCCGCAATTTATTTCAAAGATCAAAGACGATCTTCAAGTTGTCTTTTTACTGTCAAGTTTCGTGGGACACCCTGTACATTCGGGAAATATTAGATGTATAGTTCCTTGTGCAATAATATAGTTATTATTTTTTTAGAAAATAAACATTTGTTTTCAGAATTTTATTTTATTTCTAGTTTTCTTTCTTAGCGTCTTAAACGAACTGTAAGTATAACTTTCAGTGACCCTCCAGGCAACGAGGGTAATGCCTGATTCACATGGGTACCTCTGAAACCTTTGACTTTAAGATTAAAATGTATTATTTCGAAAACTTGTTATTTTTAATTCTTGTTTCTCAACAAGAGACTGTCATTGTAATTTCAAGTGACAATACATTTTTAGATTAATCATTATCTTATAAATGACAGAGATATTTTCATTTTTCTATGTTGAAAAGTGTTTAATTTTCATAATTTTCTCAATTGGGTACTGTTGTGAATTGGTTTTGCCAAGTTGTTGTTTTTTGTTTAATGGAGATTCAATTGAAATTTTGTCTTTAGTCCCTTAAGATAGGTTTATATTGTGACAGTTATTCGTCGTTAAGACAACTTCATGTAGGACGTGGAATTTATGTAGCACGTGGAATTCATGTAGCACGTGGAATTCATGTAGCACATGGAATTCATGTACCACTTGGAATTCATGTAGCACGTGGAATTCATGTAGCACGTGGAATTCATGTAGCACGTGGAATTCATGTAGCATGTGAAATTCATGTAGCACTTGGAATTCATGTAGCATATGGACTTCATGTAGGACGTGGAATTCATGTAGCACGTGGTATTAATAAAGCACGTTGAATTCGTGTAGCACTGGGAATTCATGTAGCACGTGGAATTCTTGTAGCACGTGGAATTCGTGTAGCACATGGAATTCATGTAGCACGTGGAATTAATGTAGCACTTGGAATTCATGTAGCATGTGAAATTCATGTAGCACTTGGAATTTATGTAGCATGTGGACTTCATGTAGTACGTGACATTTATGTAGCACGTGGTATTCATGTAGCACGTGGAATTCATGTAGCATGTGGAATTCATGTAGCACGTGGAATTCATGTAGTATGTGGACTTCATGTAGTATGTGGACTTCATGTAGCACGTGACCTTTATGTAGCACGTGGTATTCATGTAGTACGTGGAATTTATGTAGAACGTGGAATTGATGTAGTACGTGGAATTCATGTAGCACGTGGAATTTATGTAGTACGTGGAATTCATGTAGCACATTTATTTATATTATGGATGTTTGCATTTTGTTGTAGTCCAGTAGAAACTTTTTCTGTGTACTTATTTTTTATTATCATCAACAATTAAGACTCGAGTCAATAATAAAAAATACTCAAAAAAGAATATATTTAATTTGGCAACTTTTTTATGAAATTCACCTTTTTTATAATTAATATTGAAATATATTAAGTTGGATAAACTTGGTTTACTACTTATTTAAGTTTTAGACTCCGAGTTTATATTGTCTAATAAGGTAGGCTATAATAGGATTATACTTTGTAGTTTATATTATCTAATAAGGTAGGCTATAATAGGATTATACTTTGTAGTTTATATTGTCTAATAAGGTAGGCTATAATAGGATTATACTTTGTAGTTTATATTATCTAATAAGGTAGGCTATAATAGGATTATACTTTGTAGTTTATATTGTATAATAAGGTAGGCTATAATAGGATTATACTTTGTTGTTCATATTGTATAATTAGGTAGGCTATAATAGGATTATACTTTGTTGTTTATATTGTCTAATAAGGTAGGCTATAATAGGTTTATACTTTGTTGTTCATATTGTCTAATAAGGTAGGCTATAATAGGTTTATACTTTGTTGTTTATATTGTATAATAAGGTAGGCTATAATAGGATTATACTTTGTAGTTTATATTTAACGTTATTTCTATTTCCGGTTGCTAGCTAAACCAGTTCCGGTTTCAATTTGAGAAAGATGACTGCAGTCATTGCGAAGAAGAGCAAAAAAGGTAAAAAAAATTAACATACAGTGTGTTAAAAACAATCATCTTGGGAAAATATGCGTGAAACTAGGATAAATTTACATCTTTTTAAGATATCTTCTTTGCTACTTTTAAAACCATAGGTTTTTTCTGAACATTTTTTATCAAACTGAATTATTTTCTTATATTCTTTTCTAGATTTTGTTTTAAACAAGGAATATGTTATTTTAAAGATTTTGTCACAAACAAGGAATATATTATTAATTTTCTAGATTTTATGGTAAACAAGGAATATATCATTTTCTAGATTTTGCCACAAACAAGAAATATATTATTTTCTAGATTTTGCCACAAACAAGAAAAGGATGATTGGACTGGAAAATTTAACACTAAGGTAAACCACACTATCAACCCTATCCTGGTTGGTGGGGGGGGGCGCTTTTTCAGCCCCCTCCTCATGGATTTTCTTAATAGCTAAAACAGTTCTTGCTTTTAAGTCCACCTGCATCTAATTCATTTTTTCCCGACAGTTACTTGTTAACTATATGTTGCTTGATATTGTTACATTATTAAATTGTTAATTTGTGAAATTGTTAATTTGATAACTGTATTATAAAGTTTATGCTTTGATATTAAAACTAGTGAAATAATCTCAACATAACGTTTCATTTTTTTTTGTGCAGAATTTTAACTATCTCTATATTTTTATTTTTTAACAAACAATCGATATATTTTTAGGACTTGGCTCTAGCCAGGAACCAGGGAAGAGTGTTTTCAAACAACTTTAAAACAAAATCAATCTCTTTTTTAACCAAATAAGATGTGGGCAAAGAGAATAAAATATGTATTAAATGGGAATTTAGAGAATCCCTTGGTATGAATTTTTTCAGTCCCTTTAAACTGAAAGGGAGTTCAAAGTGTACAAATCATGTAAATATTCACGAACTATATGCAGTAGACCATCCATTTCAATTTATAATTTTTTGAAGGCTGTTAAATAAACTTTNTGAGTAAAATTGGTTGGTTAAAAATGAACAAAGAAAACTATTGACGAACATCAGTTGGAACATATTTGTAGAACTAAAATGATATTCCAGGGCCCAAAAGGTTATATGTGAAGTACACCTGCAGTATGGAAACAATACAACAAAATGGCCGTTTTACACTTTTTTCTAGTAAATTCCACTCTAATATATATTCTATTCTCTTTGTTTTTAACCTTAATGCGTAATTTTAAGAGACTTGACATTCTAAGAGAATTGCCCGATTCTCAACAGTACCCTACCTTAATCTGATCAAAATGGGAAAATAATATCGTCTTCATGACTCGGAAAAAGTTTAATTCTGATACTTTTTCCTTTGCTTCTTTTAAGCAAGAAATTCACAAATTACTTTTGCGGAGAAACCTCAAGTCAAAATAGACAAAAAACATTAATGTATAATTTAACTGTATCAGACAAAGCTTTTAAGAGTACTGTTGTAAATCAGGCATTGCTATCTTTACCTAAATGCAAGGAACTATATACAGGAACGCCCAACTCAGATACACGCAAATTGTGTACTGTACAATGTGGGAGGAATGTAAACAAACCCAGTGCCCCCACAGAAGTTGAAGGCAAAGGACTAAAGCTCTGATGTGATATTACAGTTCAACAAAAAAAAACAAGTTATTATATCAAGTTAGAGGGAATACATATGATTTTTGGCTTTCTGGTCAATATGGAAAATACAATAGCAATATATTTTTATTCCACCCCTTGGGCCCTTTTTCCCTCATTAATGATGCGTTGCCCCTGAATTCTTTGTTTTGATCTCCTCCCACTGCAGTACACAGATTTGACGCATGAGATATGGCGGTTCCTTACCAAGAGCTTTTCTTACAGTCACTTTAATATTTATTTTGGCAACACACTTAGGAGGGAGCAGAGAAATTTCTCACTAGGATTGACAAAGAATTGGAAAATCTGCAGGTAACAAGTAGGGTTCTTCCGGAAATGATCCGGAATTCCGGAACCTTTTCAAAAATCCGTAAACATAAATTCGGTGAAAACCAGTTAATATTTTTTTGTGTGTTTTCTGAAACTGTTCTTTAAAACTTTAAGAGATTAAAGCATAGAGAATAGAATATATATTAGAGGGGTATTTAGTAAATCTCTCGGTATGAATTTTTTCAGTCCCTTTCAGCCTGAAAGGGAGTTCAAAGTGTACAAATCATGTAAATGTTCACAAATTTTATGCAGTCGAGTACATTAATACAGTATGTTCCCTAGACTATCCATTTCAATTTCGAATTTTTTAAAGCTGTTAAATAAACTTTATAATGAATTAGGTGAATAAAAAACATCATTTGATTTATAGTTATAACGGAAAATCATCGTTTGTAAAGTGNAAAATAATATTTTCTAAAAAACACTTTTTAGAAATAAAATATCAATATTTTCGTAAAAATATTTTTTTTTTATTTTTGAATTTTTTATAATAAAATTTCATTTTTACAAAAAATGAACCTTTTTTCGATTTTATCATTTTTTTACATTTTTTATTTTTTTTTATTTTTTATTCTTCATCTTATTTCTTTCTATTTATGTTTTCATCTATCTATCTATTTATCTATCTATCTCTCTCTCTCTCTCATAATTTGAGCCAAACCCAACTAATCGTACGATCTAGGGTAGATAATCTAGGGTAAATCCACCTGGCAGGATTTATTAATCGTGCGATTTGGCTTCAACGAAGCAGCCTAAAGCCGTTTTACACTTTTTTCTAGTAAATTCCACTCTAACATATATACTATATTCTCTTTGGATTAAAGGGAGTACCTGACTTCACATGGTATACTATTGATTATTGTTGAGATTGGAGACCTATCTAAACCTCATTATTTCTTCGGTTAGTGTACTGCAAATTACTGCAGTACACAATAAAAACTTAGTTAAGGATGCATAATTACTGTTTAGCATCTGATCATTTAAGTATTTTCTAGAATATTATGTTTAATTGATTTGTTTAAGGCGGATAGAGCAACAAAAGAAGAAAATATGAAGCCTTGAACCATACCCTGAAATCCAGATCTTGAATCTCTAATATACATCAGTGTACTGTACTGGACTGAGCCGGTATATTGCCATCCATACTTTTTGCAAACATATAAATTCTTTTTATTCAGAACATATTAACTAGATGTTGACAGATTTATATAAAATGTTTAAAGTTAACAAGGGCGTATACAGGGGGGGGATGGGGGGCAGTGCCCCCCCTAGAATTCTGCAAGCCTTTCACACTTTTCAAATCTTAACTGAAGAGTGAAGAACACAAAAAAAATAAGTTTGCTTTTCATGATTATTATAAAAAATCAAAATTTTAAAATATATATAATTACAGTGCAGTGCTCATGCTGTAACCAAGTTAACCTAACCAACCTAACCTAATTTTAACTTTTAAGTTCACAGAGTACACAGAGTTTAGTTGGGTTCAGAGAACACACAGTCTGCATACATTTGTACAGCTCACACACTTTACATTATATGCTAGTCTTATTTAGTAGTGATGTGAGTCTGTTAAAAGTTGCCGTTGTGACTGGTATCTGTGAATTGCTGATTAATAATTATCATGAATCAAATACTGTTATTTATAAGCCTTGAGTTATCATTCATTCTTAGATTGCAGCAATTGTACTCATAGAATTTAAGTTTAAGTTAAGTTTTTATTTTCAAAAATGTCTTTTACTATCTCTAGTTTAAATACTAAATATACCTATAAAAGTATAATAAAACTGTCGATTTTTTAGAAACAATGCTTAGAAGGTAATTATTTGGACTGTATGTGTGCCTTTTAAGTATCTTATACTTATGCCTGATATCCAAGAAGCCAAGTGTTATGAATTTACAGTTCGAATTTTGCGCTTCGCGCACATCTTGCCCCCCCCCCCTACATTTATTTCTGTATACGCCCTTGAAAGTTAATGCAATGAATGGGAAGGACTCATTTAACTGGCTTTCACTGTTTTTTATCACCATGAAGAGACATAAATCTTGATATATTTTTACATATTTATATTTATCTTTAATAATTCTTACATTAAAATGTTTGCATAATAATTAAATACCAAAAAAATTTAAACACATGTACCGTATAGTAAATATAATGTATCTTATTTTTACATGTTTACATAGATAGAATATTTATATATATATGTTTTATGAAATTAATCTCGAATAAAAATTACCTAACAAGTTTTCTAAAATAAAATTGTTTTGTTTTACAAACGAATGTGTTCAGACTAAATTTTTTGTCATTAAAACTATTTTTAGCGCAAGTTTTATTCATTTATTTATTTATTCATTCATTTGTTCATTCTATAGAGGACGTGAGTCAGACTCTAATGAAAACGCATAAATAACTTTCAGTGTATATATTTCTTATAACTTATTACTAGAGGGTTCAGAATAATAGTTTATATCGAGATCACACGTGTAGATGTTTTTCAGTACTGTGCCCCGTATCCGTTCTATCTCATTCTGTTGAATCCTGTGGAACTTGTTTAACGCGGCCAGGCATCGTCTTCCACAATTCATTCATTTATCATTCATTCATTCATTATTCATTCATTCATCATTCATTCATTCATTCATTTATCCATTTTTTGTAATTGACCGTAGAGTCTATTTCGAATCACTTGAAATGGCGTAGAGTCTATTTCGAAGAACAAAGTTAATGAAATTTACAAATTTACATTATAGTGAAATTTGAACTGCTTTGATTTGTTCAATGTAAATGGTCCAAAGTAAACAATTCAACATCTTTCAAACGGAATCAATCCATCAGAAAGCTTATATACAAATATATTTAAAATCTACAGGTTTACCCACAAAGAATGAGTCTTTTAACTACAAAATTAATTGATCTGAAGACTAAGTTTATTTTTTAAATAATATTTCTAAGATTATTCTAAGAAATATTTAAAAGTTTACAGCTGTATCTATAAACTATAAAACTCAGGCCCAGCAATGGTTTATGATTGCACGAAAAACATTCGAAGAACCCGCCTCAATTTTTTTTTTTTTTAATCGTTTGCTAATTAAGGAAGAAAAAATGCCACTGACGGAACAAAACTGAAAATTTTAGAATGAGATATCCTTAATCCCGATTACTTAATCTGAGTATCCAATGGACACACTTGATTTTCTTCTTAAACCGTTCTTTCTTGGATATAGTTGAGAAAAATCAAAAACCAGTTTTTCTAAATTAAAGAGTTCCTCCCGTTTCTGTATATAATCTTAAATGGCGCGCAAAATTTCAAATTTATTGGCTTCATATGCGCGACTCTGATTGGTTGAATTTTATACACTTTTCAGGATACAAGTACAAGATTAGGTTAGTCTCGATATTAAGAAAAAGAGAGGATCAAGCATTAATCTCAAATTCCACTATTCTAAAGTTTTCAGTTCTGTAAGTAGATCTTTATCTAGCTACATTTAAAGAGAGATATAAGTCTTAAATATTTTTTTATCATATTCACAAGTAACAATTTATTAAATTCATATATACAAAAATATATATTTTTTTAACAGATAAATCTACGAGAACAGATAAATTCTTTATTGAGGAATGATAAAAAATCATATTAAAATATATATTATATGTATTTTATATGCTTTTATTGACTTTATATATTATTTACACTTGGTCAAAAAAATAATTAATTTAGCCTTGCGAGGGCTCGAAGCCTACCCTGCCACAATAGTTTTTCATCCGAGCCACATATTCCTCATATTCTCCTGCAAGCCACTTCCTAATACTCATCCTTGAAATATCATTTAGAAAATAAATCACCACATCATATGCTGATGTTGCTCGGACGAGAAAATTAGGAGAATGTGGCTCGGAAGAGATAATGTTGTGATTGGCTTCCTCCCCTCGTCTTACTACGGGGGGAAAGCTAAGAATAAAAATTTGTTATCTTTAATTTCGATTGAATATAAATCATTTATAAATACTTTATTTTTAATCAGAAAGACTTTTTTATTCACCAGTACAGAGTACAGTACTGTACAGTACCGTACAGTACCGTAACGCACAGTACAGTACAGAACAGAACAGTACAGTACAGTACAGTATAGTACAGTACAGTACAGTAAAGTACAGTACAGTACAGTTCAATTCTATCATTTCATTCATTCTTTTTTCCACCATGTCACTTAAATCAATTACTTCAAAAGGTACTGTACGTCCTTTTAGTGTAAGTCATGCCTGATTCACAACGGTGCCCTTTCAACATTTTCCGTCGTTTTTCTAGCTTCTATTGTTTCTCTCATCCACAGTTGAACATTACCAATTTTTTGAAGATAAATCATACAAGGGTTTTCAGGGTACCTTTGTGATTCAGACATTTCAAACTATCAGACATTTAGAAACTACATCTACATTGGAGAATATCACATTCTGCTTTTCTGTTAAATTTTCAAAATGGCCGCTTTTTTATCTCTTTTTTTAAGTTTGGGGGTTTGTAAGAAATATCGTAGTTAAATCGTTTACGTTTTTGCCTTTAAACTTATAAAGCAGACATAGTTGGGGGGGAACTGTCATTGTTTTAGAGATGTCCAATTTTTACGAAATTCATGGCAGCAATTAAAAAATAATTCATGCCCCTCTAGAAAGAACTTTTGTCGAATTACAGAAATTTTAGAAACTCCAGAATGCCTCTCTCTGCACCACTGCTGAATATCACCTGAAAAATATCAATAATTTTATTTTGCTATATTCAGTTTGTAATTTAATANGATAGATAGATAGATAGATAGATAGATAGATAGATAGATAGATAGATAGATAGATAGATAGATAGATAGATAGATAGATAGATAGATAGATAGATAGATAGATAGATAGATAGATAGATAGATAGATAGATACCGTCTTAGCTGATCTGTAAAGTTGAGCATCTTCTCGACCCATTTATCCAGCTTCTTGTCCTTGGCCTCCAGCAGGCTCAAGCTTACCTCATTAGACACCCTGCACACGAGAAAAAGTTAGTTGGAAATATCCCCGCTAGGTGTCTCTCCTACCCAACAGGAACACTTTGTATTTCCGTTAAAGGGACTGTTGACACAATTCCAATTAATATCAGAGCAGATTTACAAATAATAATTTTCAGAGAGAAACACAAGAATATTTTCATCCCTTTAACTCAAACAAAGGTATAAAGGGAGCTTGTGCGAATAAGTCATGTCACATTTTCGAATGGAGTGTCACATGAAATTACTTAGAAGTTTTCAAAATATCTAATTTCTCGCGGGAATATCTCTTTCAGCAGCTTTAATCATAAAATATTTTGGAAATAAAGTTTCGAATGTATGAAAGTATGAAAATGTAACTTGGTAAAAAAATTGGGTTTTTTTGGAATTTTTTTCTTATCCAAAACAATTAGTTAGTAAAAACTTATTTTTATAACATTTTAAATTGGTTAATTTGCATTTTTTTTTTCAATGGAAAAATAAGGCTGGAATAAATGCCTGTAAGCAATGATTAAAATAAAGAATGGTAAAAAAATAACGTTATGAAATTTTAAGATATAAATTTTGTAATGATAAATTTTAACTTATAAAATAGTTCAAATAAATTAATAAAAGTCTAACAAAAAATTAATTTAAGAGGATACCAAATAACTCCCGGGGTATTGATTGATCGATAGCAGGCTGACAGAACAAGGAGCTCACACCATGCGTTGATCAGCAGGGATATTTGATCATCTATCTACAAATTAATCAGCCGTTACAGTCAGAGAAAAAGAGCAATCTGTCAATTATCAGTCAATCAATTGAATTAGGAAAATCAATCAATCAATCAGCCGTTACGGTCAGAAATAAAAGATCAATCTGTCAATTATCAGTCAATCAATTGAATCAGGAAAATCAATCAATTAATCAGCCGTTACAGTCAGAAATAAAAGATCAATCTGTCAATTATCAGTAAATCAATTGAATCAGGCAAATCAAACAATTAATCAGCCGTAACAGTCAGAGAAAAAGATCAGTCTGTCAATTATCAGTCAATCAATTAAATGAGTCAAATGAAACAATCAATCAGTCAATACACTCAGACATAAAGATCAAACTGTAAATTAATAATCAATTAATAAAATCAAGACAGTTAACCAATCCATCAATATTTTTATCAATTAATCAATCAATCAATCAAAAACTTACCAAAATGTTCTTGAACAAGGGAAGACTTTTACACCATTTAACCAGCTGGTAAAGAAGTTGATCCGGCATTCCAGTCGTACCAACTCCGCCACGAGGCTCTGCCATTCTGGTCAAACCAACTCCGCCTCGAGGCTCCTCCAATCCGCCATGGAAGTGTTCTTCCAGTCTTCCGCCCTTGTCAGTTGCAGCCAAGCTTCGCCGTTCTGCTGTACTGCTAACAAGGTTCAAACCAGTTCTAAAATACAAACTTACAAATAACTATGAAAATTTTGCCTAACCTATAAAATGTTGACAAACTATGATTTTTGGAAAAAATTATAAATATACCCTAAATTTGTGATGTAACACGTTTAGATTATGATCATTGGATATTCATGATCATCTCTAGTCTCTCTTGCTTTTGCTAAACTACTTGATTTAATTGTGTAAATAACCTGTGATATTGCTGCTCCCCTATAGATTGCAACTCCTCCCTGCTCCCTGCGCCTAACAGCCTTTGCTCCATCGGGCTCTCCTCCAAAGGGTTTAGTGTCCCGGTCAGGTTTGGTTTGGAGTTCCTACAGATCCTCTGTACTGATCCGTCTTTACCCCGGTGAGAAAGCTGGGTACCAAACCAAAGATGTTCAACATTCATGATCTCCTAGATTTTAATAGAGATAGTTTGGAAATTACCAATAGCAATCTACCAACCCAGAGACCAAATTTGAAGAATTTGAGCCATGTCTCAAATTTGAGTCGCGAATTAAACATGATTGGTTCCAATTGAAATTTAAAGCTTAGTCTGGAGGCTGAATCCCTTAGTCTTGTTTTAAAATAGACTTAACTCTTAAGAACATTTAGTTCTAGCATACCTGAAGGCTCAAGCATTATTTAGTCTCAATTTTAGAAATCATGGCGTGGCCTCTAGGCTCTTAACTCTTAGAACTACCAATATGCAATGGTCATTAAGAAAAAACCACAAAAACTAAATCTGAACTAAATAATGACATTTTTGATAAAAACACCCAGATGAAAACATGTTTTATTTGGAAAAATTAATGTTTGGGAGTTGATTTTGAGGCTTTATGCACATAACTGTAAAATGTCACCCTTGCATTAAAATAAGGTATAAAGATAGTCTCAACAAACTTTGTCGCCATTTTTGCATTAACCCTTTACAGCGTCGTCTTCGATGCTATATCGTCGTCTTCGATGCTATACCTGGAGAAGGTTTGGTACCACAGGGATACTTGGTTTAGAATCTGGACTTGACACACCACTCTAGAACAAGAAGGTGTAAACAAACTTTATAAACATTCTTTAAAAATCTAAAGGGCCTCCAAAATTATCAGGAAAATCTAAAAAAGTCAGCGTTTCTAGAAGTTTTCTACTTTTTTGTACCTCTTCATTAAATTTTAAGTTCTTTTAAAACTTCTTGTTAAACTTACTTCTGGTATTTGTGTTAAACTCAAATTTCTGTTTGCTGGGATTAATGTTTACAATAAATAAACTTTCGGTTTCTGTTTGCTGGGATTAAAGTTTGTTTATTATATTTAAGTTTCTGTTTGCTGGTAAAGTAAGTACAGTTTAACCTAAAACTTTGGATATATCAAAAGAATTTATAAAATGTCGTCTTCTTAAACTACTAAAAATGGAATTCTGCAGATATTTAGTTTTTAAATAGAATCAAATAGAATCTATTTGTATTTCATGGCTATTCATTTATTTTTACAATTTCTGAGATTTAGGTATAGCAGTAAAAAACTATTTGAAAAATTGTCAAGACGACATTTTATAATTTCGTTCAATATCTCCAAAGTTGTGTGAAAGTGTGTAGGAAATACCTGTGGTAAGGTGTATGAACACTGGTAAGTGCTTCTCCCTCCTCTAGTACGGTCTTCTCTAATTGCTTCCAGTTTCATCCCAGTTTTTAAACATTTCTCAAATCTAATTAAAAACATTTCTCAAATCTAATTAAAAACATTTCTCAAATCTAATTAAAACATTTCTCAAATCTAATTAAAAACATTTCTCAAATCAAATTAAAAACATTTCTCAAATCTTAATTAAAAACATTTCTCAAATCTAATTAAAAACATTTCTCAAATCTAATTAAAAACATTTCTCAAATCTAATTAAAAATATTTCTCAAATCTAATTTAAAACATTTCTCAAATCAAATTAAAAACATTTCTCAAATATAGTTAAAAACATTTCTCAAATCTAATTAAAAACATTTCTCAAATCTTAATTAAAAACATTCCTCAAATTTAATTGAAAACATTTTTCAAATCTAATTAAAATATTTTTTTTCTTCATTTTTTTGTATTTGGAATTTTTTTGTTTTCCAAAATAATAATTATTTCTTTCTATTATTAAAGGATCTGGATTCTGCGAATTTTGTTATACTTTTATTATTTTATTTTTAAAAACTCGTTTTTGTTTTAGTTTTTTCAGGCTACCCTAGACAATATGTCGGACATTTTTATATTTTTATAAAAGCAGATATTTATTCTGAACAAACAAATATCTTGAAAAAACAATGTTGTTAAATCAATCAAAATGTAGAATGATTGTTTATCAGTTTAAAAAAAAAATGAATAAAGAAATAAAAATAATTGAAAATTAAAGAATAAATTGAAAACAAATGCTGAGCGAACAATCTTGTTAAAAGAAGGTTCATGTTATTATTAAAAATAATTAAAATTGACTAAAGACTGACCTACATGCTAATGTAATAAAGACTGACCTACATGCTAATGTACTAAAGACTGACCTACATGCTAATGTACTAAAGACTGACCTACATGCTAATG